CCTTCCAACATCCGAATATCCTCAGAAAATTCGGAATCTAACCAAATGCAACAAAGAAGAATGGAATTTACGGAAATCAGTTCACAGTTCGGTAATAATCGCGCATTATCTGATACAATTTCGACGACAATTACAGAAGATCAAGCAATACGCAAACTGCCGATGTTTGCGTTGGGTACGAGCGAGTGGCAGTTCCGAGCATTACCAGGGACATTTGATGGCGCGAGCTGGGAAGAACCAGAACAGCTGTCGGTTGAGGACACCTGGGATGAAGATGGCTCGCCTGCGTTGCCGACGCGAATCGAGTTGATGGTCGTGTATGCTGGAGGACGCCCGTATGTGGTCCAGAGACGCGTACGGGCGGATCCGCTTATGGGTACCCAGGGTATCCGGGTATTCTGAGGGGTATTGCCTAAAATTTCTTTGCTTACTGTTGTAGTCTGTCTGTATAACCGGTGTATTGTGCCGTTCTCGAGAAGTCGATTATTTTTTGGCGTTGGGTTTAGCATTTTCGCGCTAAAAAGGCTGTCAACACAGCCACATTTAACCCTAATCTCCTTGTTCTCGTCCCTCTTCTTCGCTGTTATCCAAATGAAATGGTGATAACTCTTTAGCCGTGGTCTAAGAGGGTCTGGTGCTACACCCGCTGGAGGTGTTGCCGACGATTCTGCCTTTCGCTTTGGAACTCGCAGTCTTTACGGCAAATGGAGGTGATGGTCTAAACATCCGACTAAATAGGAGTGCCCGCCGTTTTGGGAAAACGGTTGAGCACATGAGCTGGACTGGATTGTGCACTCTACCTTGGTATGCACGCCCAATGGGTGCTCTGACGGCTCAAGTGGCGAGATATATATCCATTTCCCAAGTGTCTCACTGTGTGTCGAATCGGCAAAATTTGTCATTGGATAGAAAACGATAAAATGGGTAATCCTCGGCAGGGATGTGATCTGGGGGATATGGCAGAGGTCACTGCTTCCACTCTTTCCCCCTTCGTTCGGATTCCCCCTGCCCTCAGCTAAAACTCGGATACCCTTGGGGCTTTATCTCTGGTCTTCCCATTAATCTAGATAATCCTCAGTTGGCCCTCTTCCAGCTTTATCTCGAACTTGGACCGCACTGTATTCCACCGCATCTACGGCGTTGAGTCGGAAACTCCTCGCCCGCTTACCCGTTCGCAAAACAAGAGGCAGCTGCCCGCTTTCTTATAAGGACTTCCTTCTTTCTCGTATATGATCTTATTTGCTCCCCTCCTGCACCCCAGTCCATCACCACACTTCTTCGCATTCTACCCGTTGTCAGTCACCTCTCCTCCTCTTCGACTGTGCGGCAGTGTCTCTCAGCATCCTTGATACATCCTCATCCTTGGAGTCGCGTTATATCAACCTGCAAAGATGTCCAGATGGCGTGCCGCCCCTCCTTCAACTGGTCTCATGGATTGGGAGCAGCCCAACACTGAGGCTCAAGGAGGTCTGACCAACTCCCCCCATCTACCCCTCCCGCGCCCGCAACACTACTCTTCGCCCCTCTCCTTGGCCTCATACCGTCTACTGGGTCCAACGAGTAATGATCCTTACTCTTCACGCCGTCCCTCCATCCATGGCCAATCGTATGACAAACCGCTATCCCCCATCACCAACACCCCGACCTCGCGCACTTTCCCACATCCCTTCCAACATCCGAATATCCTCAGAAAATTCGGAATCTAACCAAATGCAACAAAGAAGAATGGAATTTACGGAAAT